AAGTTATCCAACAGCTGCAATAACTGTAGAGTGTCCTCAACTTGTTGCTGTATGTCTTCTTTCTCCAGAAGAAAAAATATTATCAGACATACTGTGAAAATTTCCTTTCTCTTTTAACATCATTTAGAAAATATAAAAAAATAATAATAAATTATTTTTGACCTCAGCTAAATATATAAATATATATATATATATATATATATATATATATATATATATATATATATATATATATATATATATATATATATATATATATATATATATATGATTTTATGCATTTATTTATCTTTTATTCCTTCGATAATAGAAGTGTTAATAATGTTCTAATAGAAGTGTTGTCTCTCTGTCCAGAATGTGGTGATGCTGATGAGTGACTTCGTGGACTGGCTCATCCCAGACATCCCCAAAGACATCAGCTTGAAAATCCACAAGGAGAGGAACCTCATCATTGAGCTGTTCATGAAGCGGGAACAGGGAAAGAAGTACAGGAACACCATGAACGACCCAAGTCCACAACCGCTCCGCTCGCGGCCCAGTTCACAAGCGTAATCCCGCAGTCTGAGACCCGGCGCTGCATTCACTCAGTCCGGCCACCCGCTCGGACACACCTGGCCTTTAGGACCACCGCTGACAGGAGCAAAGAATGTTACATGGCTGCCAAATCATTTGCAGACAAACAAACAAAGTCCCGACAAGAAAAAAAGTTTTGTTTTCTTTTATCTGAATTAAACTCTCTCTCTCTCTCTCTCTCTCTCTCTCTCTCTCTCTTTCTTGGATCTTTTTCTATCCGCTATATGCAACTCCTGCAGGTAGGTTTGCTTTGGAAAGAGGGCTCTTGTATCATTTTATTTGTTTGACTGACAAATATTTTGTTTGGTGAAGCGTCGTCGCTTTAACGTTTATAGATAGCTAACGAGCCTTTTATTTGAAGATACGATGCTTTTAAATGACTTTTAACACTGACAATACATGACAATGTAACGTTTACGTTATTATTAGGATAGGGTCTGGCAACCAACTCGTTTAAAGTGCTTTTTAAATTAATTTATATCTCACATTTCATTCAGAATATTTCTGGTCAAGTGAAATAGCAATGCGGTTTTCATTTTTAGGTACTAAAGTAGGCTAGTTCTGTTATTTGACTGTCTGTTTAGCATTTAGCTGTCTATATATAGCCTATAGACATACAACACTACAAATATATCAAAAGTATCTACACCTGGGACTATTTTATTATTATCATTACATGCGGTAGAGTGATTTTGACGAGTGCTCTCTGGGATTTTTTGCCAGCATGCAAACGCTTGGTTTTTAGGTTGTGCTGAGGAAGAGTACGCTGTATATATATTTAGACTTATGATGTTCAAGAGGCCTTAATATTCAAGAAAACGTGCTGCGGTTATGAATAAGTGGTCATATGGACGGAGTTTTGTTGTGTCTGTCTTAGTTTTCTCTCGTCCTGATTCGTAATGGCAGTAAAGATGAAAAACGTGTTGCATGTGTCTTCCATTTTGTGTATGTGCGTCTACAAATGTGTTTATTGAAATTAATATAATCCAAATCTGTTTATTTGAACATGAAGCATTTTTATATTTCATTTATTTCTTCGATCTCATATATATATTCACATGCCCGCTATCCCTCAGAGGCCTTTGTTTTACCTTCATTACAATGTAATCGCATTTTTAGACTGTTACATCCTCCATACTGTTTAGCTCTGTGTGAAAAAAGCAACGTCTTCTACATGTCCTTCACGGAGTCTCAGTTTTTCACACTGCTAATGGGAGGTTTATGACTGTACTTTTGCTTTTGAATTATGTTTCTAAAATAAATATGTCCTGTACATTTTGTGGTACGTTTATTTGCTTACTGTAAGCCCACATGTTGTCATTTATAGATGAAATTTGATGCATATTTGCTTGTTGCTGCTTTGTGAGCTCAGAGTGATTCTGCTGTGAGGTCAGTGTGGAAGGAGGAGCACTGGAATAGGAAGTAACTTCAGTTCAGTGTTGCGAAATGTGATTCATTTCGAGAATCGATTCTTTCGAATGAATCATCAGCTGAATCATCACTCGAATGTCTTTCAGCAAGTCCTTCAAGTTGAATACATTCTTTTATTAATTTTCCTTCGGCTTAGTCCCTTTATTCATCATTGGTCACCACAACGGAATGAACCACCAACTTATCCAGTGTTTTACACAGCGGATGCCCCTTGCAGCTCCAACCCAGTACTGAAAAAACATCCATACACACTCACACACACACACACTCACACACACACAGACGGGGACAGTATGCAAACTCCAAACAGAAACACTAACTGACCAGCCAGGACTCAAACCAACGACCTTGCTGTGAGGTGACAGTGCTAACCACTGAGCAACCATGCCACTCAAGTTGAACTGTAGTTATTTATTTATTTGTTTTTGGCAGATTGGTTACCATTTGTATTACCAAACTTTTACAACAAATGCCTTGTCTACACTTTTAAAAATTCTGCGTTGTTGTCCTCCAATGTTTTCACAGTGTTAAGTTGGCGGTTCATTCCGCTGTGATGACCCCTGATGAAGGGACTAAGCCGAAAAGAAAATGAATGTTCTCCAATGTTAGATCAAATATAAGGACAAACCCAACCAATAGGTTAAAAAGTATAATTAAAGTTGAATTAAAAAAAATATTAACCAAATGTTAGGTTTGTCCATATTTGACCCAATGTTGGGTTATTTTAAACCAGCATTTTTATTGTTAGTTTATGGTTATCTTATGTTTTTTTTCCTGTTATTTGTAGAGATATACTCTTATTTACTCTGTTCTATAATTAATTGACATTATTTTTCTTAGATTAACCCTTTCAGCTGCTCCCCAGCTATTTTTAGTTTGGTTTCCTGAATATTATATATAGAAATCAACATTTTAAGTTGGTCAAAAAGTCCTAAGATAAGAGTGGGTATTTTTCCATAATTTTTGGACAACTTTGATAAAAGGTTTTGATTTTAATCTACTTCAAATGTTGACTACTGTATTGGATAATAAGGAAAGGTTTCTTTGATGTTCCTGGAAGTATTTATTATTTATACTTCATGACAGAAGATCGGGCTCTCCAAACCCGGAAGCAGTTCATTTTTAATTTTAAACATTCATTTTTAGTGGATTACCTTGCACGATAAGAATAACAGTGACTGTTTACATGGACATCAGTAATCAAATGATTTGCCCTAATCTGAATTAGACAATAATATGATTACAGTGTTTACTTTTTGAATGCTCCTTTCATAATCCCGTTTTACATGTTATAGCACATATTGAGGGATCTTGGATTTGAGTACTGAAGCTGTATTCTTGCTACTCAGGCTGTAAAATGTGTTTTCAAGGCCAAAATCACAAAGTGATAAAACCTGCCTAAAACAATGAAATGCATCATGCTTTTTGTTTTAAACAACAATTGCATGCTGTCACCACGCTATCCACATTTCCTCCGGAGTTTCATGTAATTTCAGGTGTTTAATTTTAAATTTGTTGACTTTAACAGCAGTTCGGCACTTTCATTTTCATTCAGAAACATTTTTTTCCCACGGCCACCCCTGTGTAAACTGGCCACCCTAATATTACTTTGCTGTTGATATTATTAATTTAAATGTACTTTAATTCACAATATTTTTAATAAATAAATAAATAAATAGCATCTACTAAATTATTGTTTATTGATTGGTGCCACTGACAGAGCTGATTCATTCATTGAATAAGTATAGTGAGAGTGTGTGTATGCAGTTATTGTGTGTTAGTTGTCTTTGTTTTATTAATTAATCCATTAATCTTCATTCCTTTTAGACGTGGCATATACTGTATGCTGTGCAATAAAAGTGTGAAAAATAACTGAAAATATATTTATATATATGAAAAGTGTTTTTAAACTAAATATTGATTTTCATTTGGCTTGCACATGTACTTGCTGAATTATTTCAAGAAATAAATTGTAATATTTCAAGAGTAATTAATTAAATGAATTACATTATGAACATTATTTCATTTACCAGAAACAAAAATATAACTACTCAAATTCATTAGTTTTTTGTGTGCCACCCAAAGATTTGGTGAGGCCTCTTCTGGCCACCTCTAAGAAAATTTTCTGGGGGCGCCACTGCCTCGCTAATAGTTTGATTAAGGTGTTTACATGTCTGAATTACACTTCAATAATGCGAGTAAAATCATACCCCACGTCTTAATCTGATTTCTGTTTAGTTCGATTATATCAAAATTATTTAAATTAATCAAATCTCTGTTTACATGGTAGCCTCTTAATCAGAGTATTGTCTTAATCATATTAAAATCGGATTATTGGTGTCTGTGTAAACTTAATGTGAGCTAGCAGAGTAAAAAAAAAAACCTTGGTAAACTTTGATTTCACACAGAGATTAATCATTACAAAAAAACATGGTTCACACAGAAAAATAAATAGAAAAAACTGTTTCAATGGTTAAGGAATGGTTTAACTGTTAATAATGTAAAAAAAAAAACTGTTTATACATTTTAACTTGGTAGGCCTAATTTTTTTTATTAATATGTAGCATGTTATAACTAATAATTTGTTATGAAATGTGTCCAATACACAAGAAAACATTCAAATAAGCTACTTTTAATGCAGGGGGGTCAAATTGAGTTCCTGAGGCAGCAGCCCTGCAGATTTGAGTTCCAACCCTGCTTCAAATAGCCTGAAGGACTCAGTTTGATCAGGTGTGTTTGATTAGGGTTAAAGCTAAACTGTGCAGAGCTGCAGCCCTCCAGGAACTGAGTTTGACACCTGTGCTTTAATGGATAATGTTGTATGGTTTGTAAGGATTTTAATAGCTAGTGCAGTTGTATCCTTATGGAAAATCAAATGTAATGGCGTCTATTGTTTTGGACCTTTATTAGTGCTTTTTAAGACTAGCTCAAAATGCAAATTGTTTATATTATGCTACTAATGTTCAAAGGTCGAACTGTTGAAGCCAATAAAGTGATTCAGAAGAACAGTTCTGAATCACGAATCGGACACTGCTTAGCAAACGAATCATTAAGCTACAACATCAAAAAAAGAAGCCATTTCTAAAACAAGTCATCTTTAAAGCGAAATACATTTTGTCGTTTTGGTGTCCAGCAGCAGATCATTCAGAGCAGAGCAGAGCAGAGCAGCAGGGTGTCTTCAGAAGCAGGAGAGAGAGAGGGAGGGGATTTTACGAGTCCTCGCTAAACTTCAGACCGAGAGTTGAAAGCGAAAGCGGAGATGAGTCGAGCGGCAGTGCCGTGTTAGCATTCAAACATGGACAAGAGAGGATTCCGAGCAATGTTGCTAGAAATTTCCGACAAGCTTACAGATGATAACGTGGCCAAATTAAAGTTTTTGTGCACTGACGTCGGCATCGGGAAGAAAAAACTTGAGAAAATCGACACCGGGATTGAACTCTTCGAGTGCTTGATCGAAAGAACTGCAATTGGGCCTGAAAACACTGAGCTTTTACGAACACTTCTTGACAAAGTCGGTCAGACAGTTCTTATTGAAAAAATAGACGATTATGACAGGCAAACGTCAAGAAGCCCGGCTGGTGGTCTGGACGCGAAAGAGCGAGGTTGGTAACGTTACACTTGTACTGTAATTCTTGAAATTCTCATGTCTGTCAGTCAGGTGTAACGTCAGTGTGGTTTCCACTTAACGAAGTTCGATATTTTACGTGTAACCTTATAAACTACTGTAATTTTGGATGAAACAATGGTTTAAAGTCAGAGTAAGGTCTAATTTAAACGACATTTCTGTGTATTCTGTTGTTTTGTGTTACTTTTTTCACTGAGGTGATGTTTACTCTGCTTCCGTCTTGTCACGAATATGTGAAATGCTTTGTGGCAAGCCGTGTCAACATTTACTCCTTTCAATGAGCAAGTTAGTAATCTGTAACCTGTTTACTAAAAATTATTGGTTATATACGCATTATCCCAACGACAGGGGTTCTATTCTTACATTGCATCACCTGAAACAAATTAACAGTTTGAAGTCTTGTAAATGGGGTCACATTTAACTCTACATAATTTTCATTAAATCCAAACCCACAAGCTACATTTTAAATAAAACCTGGGAGATTTATGTTCCTCCAAAATCCCTAAGACTTTGACAAATCCAAAGGTAGTCAAAGAAACCCATATGAGTGAAGTGGTTTAATTTAAATGGTTAATTTCAGTGCCATTTTGGTAATAAATTGTACTTTTTAAGAGTTCTGTTGTCATTTACTCTCCCACCACTTTTTCTAAAGCTATGAGTTGCGTTGAACACAAAAGAAGATATTTTGAAAAATGTTGGAAACTGGTTGACTTCCACCATATTTTCACTCATTCTACGGAGGTCAATAGTTACCTGTTTTCATCATTCACCAAAATATCTTCTTTTGTGCTCAACAGATTAAATATTGAGGTAAAGTTGGTTTTATATTTGCACATTCAGACTTTCTCCTTAATAATATAATTTCAGAAAAGTATTATTTGTAAACTCTAAATAGTGAAATCATATAAGCAGCCAATGAATATCAAAATACAACATTGTGCACAGTCAAACAAATTAGAGCTAATGTTGTTTTCAAGTCATATTTACATGTGATTTCAGACCCATAGTCAAATTAGTGTAGTAGATAATATAGGCAACGTTAAATGAAGGAATGTGCGAATATAAAACCAACTCTACCTCAATTGATTAAACGATCTGACAAAAGTTTGGATACATGTGAGGGTGAGTAAAAGTATTAGAATATAGCTATTTGTTTAGGTTAAAAAGAATGCAAACACGATTTGTAAATGGTTGTAATTGAGGTTTGTAAAATGAGCAGATTAATTTATTTGTACGATCATCTTTTCCTAAGTAACCTGAGTTAAAAACAGAAATTATTATAGAAATGAGTGCAGGGCTAAGCTGTGCGGTCATAAACTGCCACAACAGCAGCAGCAAACTGAAGGAATTTCCGGAAAGTACGTCTTGTGAGCATCAGCAAATCTCAAAGAAATGTACAACTCATCTCGTGTTTCACGACAAAAGAAACTGACAAGAGATCACAAGCATAAAGAAACTGCAATGTGTGAGTTGAAATGCTCCTTAAAGAATGTGAATGTGTACTCTTATCATTTTCTAGACAAGCCCTTAAACTCCACCCCAAAACACACACACACACACACACACACACACACACACACACACACACACACACACACACACACACACACACACACAGCCCTGTTTAAAAATCAATATTTTTATCCATCCCTGTAAATATTGACAATATAACTTGGTGCGTTTAAATAAAACAGTTTTATATTCATTATAATAAGAGTGCTGCTCACCAAACATCTTTAGAAATAGATCATACATTTCAATTCAAATAAGATTATTACAATTAAACTACAAAAATTCAACTAAATATACTGTTGAAGTCAGAATTGTTAACCCCCCTGAATTATTCGCCCGTTTATTTTTTCCCCAATTTTTGTTTAACGGAGAGAAGATTTCTTCACCACATTTCTGAACATAATAGTTTTAATAACTCATCTCTAATAACTGATTTATTTTATCTTTGCCATGACGACTAAATAATATTGGACTACATATTTTTCAAGACACTTCTATACAGCTTAGTGACAGTTAAAGGCTTAACTAGGTTAATTAGGTTAACTAGGCAGGTTAGGGTAATTAGGCAAGTTATTGTATATTAGTGGTTAAAAAAAGTCTTTATTCTTTATTCTAGCTGAAATAAAACAAATAAGACTTTCTCCAGAAGAAAAAATATTATTAGACATACTGTGAACATTTCCTTGTCCTGTTAAACATCATTCATTCATTCATTTTCTTGTCGGCTTAGTCCCTTTATTAATCCGGGGTCGCCACAGTGGATCGAACCGCCAACTTGTCCAGCACATTTTTACTCAGGGTATGCCCTGCCAGCCGCAACCCAGTCACACACACACTCATACACTACAGACAATTTAGCTTACCCAATTCACCTGTACCGCATGTCTTTGGACATTGGGGTAAACCAAGGCGAAGGCAGGGAGAACATGCAAACTCCACACAGAAACACCAACTGAGCCGAGGCTCAAACCAGCGACCCAGCGACATTCTTGCTGTGAGGCGACAGCACTACCTACTGCGCCACTGCTTCACCCTGTTAAACAACATTTAAGAAATATCTAAAAAAAGAAGAAAAAATCAAAGGGGGGCTAATAATTCTGACTTCAACTGTGTATTTTTATGGCTCTCCTGCTTTTTGTCCATTTTATTTCTTTTTTTATTTGATACATTTCTCTTAAACATCCATTGGGGTGTACACATTTTTGCACCATGATCTTAAAGGGATAGTTTACCCAAAAATAAAAAAAAAGACTCACACTGTTTTTCTTTTTCTTTTTTCTATTGAACACTAATGGAGATATTTTAATGAAAGCTGAAAACCTGTAACCATTGACTTCCATAGTAGAAAAACAAATATGGAAGTCAATGGTTACCGGTTTCCAACTTTTTCCAACTATATTATTTATGTGTTTAACAGAAGAAAGCAAGTCAAATAGAGTTTAAAGAAGTAGAGGGTTTTACTAATATATTCCAAATTATGTTTAACAGAGCTAGTTTTGTTTTAAACCATTTTAGGGTCAATATATTATCAGCCCCCTTAAGCAATATTTTTTTTTCTGATCGTCTAAAAGACAAACCACTGTTATACAATAACGTGCCTAATTACCCTAATTAAGCCTTTAAATGTCACTTTAAGCTGAATACTAGTATCTTGAGAAATATCTAGTAAAATATTATTTACTGTCATCATGGCAAAGATAAAAGAAATCAGGTAATAGTTTGAGTAACTCATTTCTAATATGTTTAGAAAAGTGTTCGAGAAAAACCTTCTTTCCGTTAAACGTAAATTGGGCAAAAGAATGTGCACTCATTTGGCTTTTGTCCATTTGATCCATATTTGGGTTTCATCAGTGCTAGTTGTTTGCTGTCGGCTTGGCGTGTCCTGCCCCTAACCCCTACATAAACCCTATTAAACAAAATATCAAATCAGGTGTCAAAGGCCAAGAAGGAAAAAAAAGCTTGTTTTTTTTGAGATGGCATTTGAACAAAGACAGTAACTGTGTTTCCATTTACCCATTTGTCATTCTAAAACGCATTAACCATCTCAGTATTAGTGTTATTATATTATTAATTACCTCCAGAATTGTCAAGAGCATCTGTGCTTCACATCTGATGCCTTCAAACACCCCCACGCGTTCATTACATGTTGACATTTGTCTTCTGAGGCGCAAGTCATTTATTAAATGAAGAAAAGATTCATGCAGCTTCTCCTACCACAGCAAATTCTGTTTTACTGGTGACATTTGGTGCCAGTTTATGACGATTTTTATTAGGGGTGTCAAAATTAATTGTTTCTTCGGTGCACCTCCATGCAGACGCGGACAATTCTGTATCGGTTCAGTAATAATCATAACCGGTTATTATTTACTGACGTCATTTATCTCCTATGCGCTCTGTCGCGAGGGAGGTGAGCGGAAGTATTTACAACACTCAGGCAACTCAGGGCCGGCCCGTGGCATAGGCACCATAGGCAAATGCTAAGGGCGCTGTATATCCAGTGGGGCGCCAGAAATGAGCGCGCTTCAGTTGGTTTTGTTTTCGATTTTCCTGACACACATTCAGTTATAGACGGCAATAACTCAAAAACCTCTTACCCTAAAAAGATCTAAAGTGTGTTTCCTACAAAAAGACAAAGCTGGTTATGTTTCACAGCTGTCTTTCTTTTTTTTCGCTCGACATTACGAGCAATGCTCCGTTTAAGCCCTCGCAATATGAGTTTAGCCGGGAGAGCTCGCGCTGAGAGGAGCTCTCAGTAAGGGACCGTCGGAAAAGTGCTTCTTTTTTTTTTGTTTTTCTGCTCCGCTTAGCGCGAGCTCTCCCTGTTGCGAGGGCTTAAGTGTGTGTGTGTGTGTGTTTGAATGAGAGACAGTGTGGTGCTGAGTGTCTGTGTTTATACAGACAGCTTGTTATAGCCTCCCCCCTAAAATATAACACTGTATATAGAAAGCATCATCAATGCACCGAGATATCGAATTGAACCGAATCGAAGGCATGATAGTCGTAACCGAACCGTGAGACCAGTATAGGTTCACACCTCTAATTTTTATTCTTTTTGACTTTGAATTGGATGGAAATGCTGCTTTATTCGCACGTCTTATGCGATATTCCAGTTTTGCGCATTTAATTAGCATCTTTGGATGGAAACATAGCCAATGAAGCTCCCTGCCTAATGAAAAGAGGCAACTCATTCCAGGATTTGGGATTATCAATTTACACTTTGCCTTTGGCACTCTAAGCAGCAGCTGATCTAAGGGCGAGAAGCTACATAGAGGTCAACAGTTCTGATACTCTGTATTGACCTTATTCTTGACAACCACTTATTTGTAGACATTAAAAACAGCATGTTATGACTCTTAATGTTGGAAACTAAATTTTTCTTATTATTTTTTCCTTTTTTTATGTATAGTCATGAACACACTTGTTTGTACAGCTAATAGTTTTACCGTTTATTATTCCTTGTCATTTCTCCTACAGGCAACTGAATCTAAAGTTCTAAAACGATCACAAAAACAAGCGCACTTGTAGAATAAGGTCAATAGTCTGGGGAAGAACCAACCAACATTCAATTCAAACGCTTTCTGTGTCTCTTTTTAGAGAGAATCAACACAGCAACCGAAGTAGTGGTTGAGCAGCTGGGTAAAAAGTGGCCCTCCGTTGGAAGAAAGCTGGGGCTTCAGCAGACACAGCTGGAGGGAATCCAGGAGAAGCACAGCCGTGATCTGGAGGAGCAGGTCAGAGAGCTCATCAGACAGTGGATGAGGATCAAGAAGGAGAACGCCCGAGTGGAAGATCTCATTCAAGCGCTGCGAGACTGCAAACAGAACCTCACCGCTGATCTCGTGGAGAGAAAACTCAGGGAACTTTAAAAACAAAAACAACTTCACACCATTTTGTGTTTTTTGGAAGCTGTTGGAAAAAAGGAGAGAGCTTTTTGTAATTACTGTGAATTTCCTTTATCTTAAGAGCAAAATAACTCTAAATCGTTTACAGATCTTCCTGAAGGAGTCGAGCACAGCTTTTGTTCAGGATAATGAATTAGATAATATATTTGTACAGCGTTATTATATTGCAGGGCACGATATTATTGAATAATGAGTGTCTTAAAGGGATAGTTCATCCAAAAATGAAAATTTACTCACCATTTACTCTCTCTCAATGGGTTACAAACCTTGCTAAACACATTCTAAAGAAAGCTGAAAACTGGTAACCATTAACTTCCATTGTAGGAAAAACAATTACAATGAAAGCCAGTGGTTTTGAAATATCTCCTTTAGTGTTTAACAAAAGAGAGAAACTTGAAGGTTGAGTAAATGATGACTTTTGTTTTTTGGGTGAACTATCCCTTTAAAACAACACATCTGATTTACCCTTTGAAAAGCATTAGAATGGTGCAGTTTTTACAGAACACTCATCAAATGACACTGTTCTTGTATTGACTGATTCTGGCAGAGGATGTCTGACACTTAATCAATGAATAAAGGGACCAGCGATGCTTCAACAGGCCTTTCAGTGGTTTGACAGAACATGTTGAACTATTTATTCTATACTTCACAGTACAGAAATGGTAGACCCATTATATAACAGAACCTGTGTTCATAAAACCATCTTAAGACTAACTAGCCGATTTAGGAGTAAATCATAAAGGGTTCCTGTAGGTTTCATCAAGTCAAATTTAAGACTTTAAAACCATTATTAATCAAATTTCAGACATATACAGGATGGAATATTTTACTTGCCTTATCAAAAAAAGTTCTTAGCCACATGTTTCAAATGAAAATCTCAGTTGTCTACATTTGATTTTTTTGAACAACTTTTCTTAAAAAAGAAAAACTATAATTAACTAAATGTCTGCACAACAGTCTGTCCAGGATGTTTGTAAAAAGTTTTATTGAGATTGATTGGTGGTGACTGTATGCGTGTTGGCCTGGGGTGTGTTTCCGAAAACATTGTTAGCCAACTTATACCTTTTTACACTAATGCGTTTTAGTTTGAAAATGCATAAGTTTTGCCACGGTTACGCCATCCGTACACACTACGCCGGAGTTTTCGAGCGCCAAAAACGGAGCGTTTTGAAAATGCTGGAGAGGCCATTTTCATTCTAAAACGCTGCTGCTCTGTCTCAGTGTGGATGAGGAAAAACGGAGACGTCTGAAAACGGAGGCGGGACTGCTGAGATTCGCTCCCTGATTGGGACTTTTGTGTCATTGCGTATCCTTCCCTTATTCGTCAAGCCCCTATCACATGACTATAACACATGGCTTTAACACTACTGGAAGACAGTACTGTAAACAACAACATGGACACAGAAATGGGAGCGTTGTTTGCACTATTGTCTGTTTTAGGCGTCATCGTGCTGTTATTCATTTGTTACTTTTAGTAACAACTCGACCTCATCGTCTGTCCACAAAAATACCTCTCTTGCTTTCTTTGCCATCGCGTTTAATGTTCAACCGGCATTTGTTGACTAACAATAACCAAATGCCGAGCGAGACGCATGTTTTCTGTTTATACTAAAACGTGCATGCTCAGAGTGCGCGAATGGTCACTTGATATACGTTTTTGGTGGCGTAGTGTGGACAGATAAGTTCAGAAATGCTAGTCGAAACGCTAGTGTGGACGCGGATCGCTTTTGATCTAAAACGGCGTTTTAAAACTAAAACGCACTAGCAAGGTCCGTCGTTACAAACATAGATCAAGAGTTCACACTTAGCTGATGATTGATTATAAAGCAAGTTTGGTATGCTGTCCCGGGAGAGAGCCCTGAGCTCAAAAGTGCTTGAGCCCTGGGCTCCCTCCCGTTTGCAGGGCGAGAGGGGAGCTCTGAGCTCGGGTAGGTCTCGAGAACTCTCTTTTTTGATAAGAGCTGATGACAGAAAATGATTGGTATGAAGAGATATGCTGCTGGATGAGAGTTTGACGGAAGTGCTACATTTAGATTGATCAATTAATTTATGGTGCATTTTTTTTTGGAATGTGGGAGGAAACTGGGGAAACCCACACAAGCAGGGGAAGAACATGCTAACTTCGCACAGAAACGACAGCCGGCGAAAAGTCAGTCAATTTAATAATGCTACTATTATATGCATACTCTACATCTTAATTCCATTTCTGTTTAGTTCAGTTATGACTTTAGTCAGATTAAGGTGATAAAAAAATAATAATAAATCACTGTTTCGAGCTTATGTAGGCCTACAGTTCAAAATGCATGTTTTAATAAATAAACTAGTAAACACAAGTACATCTTATTGAACATAATTTATTTTCGGCATTAATTATCATAAAGAACAGTTTCTCAAGTAGTTTGTGAAGCATTTTGGAAACAGGAGATGCGCCCTGGTCTAATGCGCCACCTGGCTTGAGGAACCCATTCTCAAAGACTTATTATTAGGGTTACACACATATTCTGAATTCCTTCAGCAGAATTTAAATGAGCCATTTTAATCTAGATTGATTGCAAGATTACAGTGAGATTAATCTAGATAAAAAAAAAATAATCTATGCCCACCTATAGTAAAATACATGCAGTCCACAGTAATATTGAAAATAAATAATTTTGTTTTCTCCCATGCAAATCAGTGACATTGTATTTTGTGAACTTTACTTTTTACGAAAAAGACTTTCCTTTACAATTTCTTAGAAGAGAAAAAAAAAAACTCAGCAGCTTCATGAACAGGTTTCAACTAAATAATTGTGCAAAAGCCTGACAAAGCAAACCCTGACAGAAGTATGTTCAACATGCTCCAGCAAGTCATCCCTGAAGATTTCTGAAGAGATTACTGTATTTGTGAAGAGTTTGAGTCATCGTTTCGATTTATCCCACACCGCTTAAGTGGCCTGCATTTCCCAAAACAACATGAATAGAACACCGTTTTAAACATGATTTTAAACATGATTATAAACATGATTTTATTTTTTAAATGTAGGCATCGTGCATTTGTTGACCTTTTGAAAAACAAAAAAAGTTTAGTAAAGATTGAGAATCGCACTTGACTGGACCCCAAAGAAATGCAGCTCATGTTGCTAAGAGACGCATGAGAAACAAAAACAGGCGTTTCCCTGACACATTCAACCATAATCTCTCAAACTTTAAAGCTGGGCTCAGACTACAGACTACAGACTACTTCATACAATTTAGTACAATTTGGGTGGGGATTGGTGCCACGCCTCCTTAAAATCTTACCTTTTTGTACGACTGAACTCTGAATGAATTAGCCACTAAACTGAGAAATAAAAAACTCGCATTTCCTCGTGAGATCAGGCTGGATCATCTGGTGAGCCGTTTTAAGATAGAATCGCACCCCGTAATGTTCTAGAACACACATCGGAGCCTCCACACTCATATCAAACATGTTTGATTTCCAGGATTTTTGATACCGGGCTCATCACAGCTGTTCCAAACTATTGCGCATAACTAAAGCCAAGAACTGTGTAGAATGATTTTGATTTATCTATGATCTTGAATCATCTTTTTTTTTTAGCCAGATTTAACATTACTCTTATAGCGGTGTAAGACAAAAGGGAATAACCCTATTGAGGCATGACAAAAAAAATGAATGAGGAATTTTGAGTCTTTAGGTTTGCAAATGAGTTAGAGTTGCTGCTCCGATCAATTAAAACAGTTTTGCTCAATTACATTTTACTGTATGTAAGAATATCATGTTGGATTTTTTATGATACCTTTCATAATCTATAATGCGAAGCGGCTTCTGCTTATAATGGTAATAATAAACGGTTACAAAGCGATGTAATACTTTCAAAAGTCACAAACGCAATTTATACAATAAGTCAGAACTATTAGCCCCCTGAATTATTCACCCCCGTTTATTTTTACCTACAATTTCTGTTTAACGGAGAGATTATTTTCTCAGCACATTTCCAAACATAATAGTTTTAATAAATCATCTCTAATAACGGATTTGTTTTGTCTTTGCCATGATGACAGGGAATAATATTTGACTAGATATTTTTCAAGACACTTCTATACAGCTTAAAGTGACATTTTAAGGCTTAACTAGGTTAATTAGGTTAACTAGGCAGGTTAGGGTAATTAGGCAAGTCATTGTATAATGATGGTTTGTTCTGTAGACTATCAAAAAATATAGCTTAAAGGGGCTAATAATTTTTACCTTAAAATGTAAAAAAAAAAAAAAAAAAACTGCTTTTATTCTAGCCAAAATAAAACAAATAAGACTTTCTCCAGAAGATAAAATATTATCAGACATACTGTGAAAATTTCCTTGCTCTGTTAAACATCATTTGGGAAATATTTAAAAAGGAAAAAAATATATATATCAAAGAGGGGCTAATAATTCTGACTTCAACTCTATATCTATGCCTAATATACGATGGCCAGAAAGTGAAAATTTTCTATAAATTGTTTTAAATTGGTGCCTTTGATGCCTACAGAGACGGTTGAGTACACCACGATTTGATATAAAAGTCACTTTAATGTGGGATATGAATAAAAAAAGTAATCATTAACAAATATTTCCTCACAAATATTTCAAATGAGTAGCGGCTTGGGCCCAGAAACAGTATTCCATACATCACAACTTAAATTTTGGAAAGGGGGTAAAATAGGTGCCCTTTGAGATCAGTCTTTTGTGTCTCCAGAATGTCAAAACACCCCTCAGAATATTTATACCTTTTAGAGCTTTAGAATTTTCTGCTCTGAACACAATGTAGCTGTTAGTTCTCCCCACCCAACGTCCCCATGTGCCTCAGTGCCTGCCATGCTATCGTCTGATCTCATATGAAGCAAAAGATTGTGATGACATATGATGACGTGTGCAGGTGTTGTAGTGGTGTCCCTTTTCTTAGAGGTAAATTTTAAAGCCCTTCCCCTACACACTCTATTTTAAGCGCCATGGGGAAGGGGTACAAAAATAGAATTGGGATTGGGCCTTATTGTTTTTATATCACCCCTATATGTTTGTGGACACACTATACCACAGGTGTCAAACTCAGTTCCAAAAGGGCCGCAGCTCTGCACAGTTTAGTTCCAACCCTAATTAAACACACCTGATCAAACTAATTGAGTCCTTCAGGCTTGTTTGAAACCTACAGGTAAGTGTGTTGGAGCAGAGTTGAAACTAAACTGTGCAGCGCTTCGGCCCTCCAGGAATTGAGTTTGACACCCCTGCACTATACCAACACACAGTTCTGGCCAAACAGCTTCCAAAAGATGGATTTTATCATAGGTGCCCTTTAACAGACATCATTTTCTGTCCATTTCCATCCATACATATCACAAAACACAGCTAATTTAAAAACTCTACACAGATATAAGAATCTCATTCATGTTTATTTGGTGTTTTATTTTACATTGATTAGTATTGGCTGATACAGTAGATTGATGTAAAACCTTGTTCACAGTGGGGCACATTGGAGGCAAAGCATGTGGAAATATTTCCCATGAGCACTCTCTTTCTCTCTCTCGCACACATACAGACACACAGAGGTTTCTTCCCCTCTCTCTCATACTTTGACAACAAAAGTTTCCT